TCAAGGCCACGGGACACGCAGCAGGCTCCCTGACAGGTGTGACGGAAGGAACCCTGAGCCCCTCCCCCCATCCCTCCCGACATCCCAGCCACTGCCCAGCTCCACGGCCTGAACGTTTCTCAGATCAGCCCTGCCTGCCCCGCTGGGGCTGCCACCCCACGGGGCAGGCGGCCCCTCTCGAGCTGGACTGCCCTGCCAGTCCCTCTGCCGCCAGGCCACTTTCCGCCCCAGAGGGAGCTCTCCCGCTGGGGCTGGCGCCACGGTGCTGGTCCTGGCTGTTGCCACAGCTAGGGGCGGTGGCCCCGTGGGATCTGCCGCTGTGACGCCACGTTCCCCGGTCTCCCCTAGCCTCGCTCTCCGGTCCCTGTCTCAGCCGAGCTTCTTTCCACTCCTTGAGGGGGCCTCGGGGGCCTTTGGCCCCTGGGCCTTCGCAGAGCAGGTACCTGCCCTGCCCAAACACAGACCCTGGCAGACCCTGGAGCCGTCCCACGGTCGCTGGCCTGTGGCCGACACCCCCTCCTCCGCCGGCCGCTGGCTGTGCAGCCTCTTGCTCTGCTGGGACACCACCCCTTGAACACCTGCTAGAGGAGCCAGGCCCGTGGAGTCCATGGCAGCCAGCGCAGAGCTGGCACCTGCGGGCCCTCAGCACACGGTTATGGAGGGGCCGGGTCTCCCGCTCAGTGTCTGCAGTTCCGGGCTCCCTGCCCCTGTCCCCAGGCCAGGCCCGCCTCCATTCATGCCCTTTGTGAAAGGAATCCAAGACGCCTGAGGGATGATCTCAGGCAGAACCCTCCCACCCACAGCCATTTTTACAGGTGGGGAAACTGAGTCCCAGAGAGGAGGGACTTGCCTCAGGCCACAGAGTGGGTCGATGGCAGGGCCAGAGCTGTGTGACTCTGAAAGTACTCGGCACTCGACCACCTGGGCTCAGCAAGCGCTGTGCCTTCCCTCTGGAGGGAGACGGGAGGGAGTGGGCTTTTGGCTTTTGGCCTCCTGCCGCCGCAGTTATTCCCAGGGTAGCCTGTCCCTAGGGGCCAGGTCACACGTGTTGGTTGGGGGCCCTTGGGGACCGGGATTCTCAGACGCATAAGCTCTGGAGCCAGATGGAGGACTAGTGAAGGGGCTCAGTGTCAGCGGCAGGAAGTGATGGAGACTGTGCCCAACATGAGGGAGCGGGGTCTGTGCAAAGTCACTCGAGACCAACCTCAAAGGCGCTGTGCCAGCCACATGACACACGCCTGTGGCCCCTTTCGGCCCCTGAGCTGTGAGTCTGAGACCCCACGCAGGCACAGGTCGACTGCTTTCTCGAGGAGTCGGAGGCCCAGAGGAGACCCCCAGCCCCCGCCCCCTGCTGGCCCTGAGCAGGCCTCCCGGGCTGTCCCCAGGCGTGGAGAATCCCAGGGGTCCCCTTCTCTCCTGGGAGGAAGCCTCGAGTGTCAGGGAGGGGGCCTGGCTCCCTGCCTGGGGCCGGGCCTCAGAATCCTCCGAGCCCAACGAGTCTTACCTTTGACCAGGGTGTGCTTGTCCGTGGGAGAGGAGCGAGCCAGCACCCGCAGCTTTGGCCAGATCTTGTCGATACGCTCCTGCTCGATCTGCCAGGGGGCGGAGGAAGGGCGGAGTGGGGTTGGGGAGAGAAACTGAGGCCCGGAGAAGGAACAGACTCGCCCCGGGTCGCTGGGCTCTTCGTGGAACACTGGCTGGCTTCTGTCCAACCAGGAGGCCCCCATGCCTCCCAGCTCCCCACCCAAGCTCGTCCCCCCTGGGACCCTCTGTGCGGGGACACGTACCTCCCCCTTCTCGTTTCGGATTCTCCGGTTGAACTCCTTGCCCTCGAGGCACAGGAAGTCCTCCCCAGGATGGATGATGCCACACTTGATGGCGATGGCCCGAGCCGTGTTGATATTGTCACCGGTGACCATGCGGACCGTGATGCCTGCCCGCTGGCACTTGCGGATGGCTTCTGGGACCTGGGGGGGAGCAGGAGCCATGGGGGAGGGCGCCACCTTGGCAGGCCCTCCCTGCCTTCATGGATTCCAGGGGGAGCTTTTCTCACAGGCAGCACCACTGAAAGGGGACTAGATGACTACGAGAGACCAATGGCACAGATGACACATGGATCACCACTTCCCTTCCTGTGCCCAAGGCAGGCATTGCGAATCAATCACAGCTCCTCTGATTAAGCCCTGACGTGATTCTCAGCACAGAGTCCCGGGCAGCCACCACCTATTGACACAACAGTCCACCCTGAGATGAAACCATCTGACCTGGACAAAGACTTTGGAAAACACCCTCTCAGTTCTGGCCCCAGGCGAGCACAGGACACTCCACTAATGCACGTGACTTTGTCTCCATTTCATCCACAAATACAGTGCCAGCAAACTTGGTGGTAAATCCATTTGCAAATTTTCAGTTTCTTGGGGTGGGGGGAATATTTGCATTTGGGGGTATTTTCTTTACAGAACATGGCACTGGCTTAGAATAAATATAAATGATTATGCTTCAAGTCAAATGTGCCATCTCATTGCTATAATAAGGATTGAGTCCTGCTCTGAGACTGCAATGACAGACGGATGTCTGGGCCAATCAGGACGGACCAGGACCAGCCAGCCAGAGGACGATGGGGCTGCCCGCCCCCACCCTGCCCCAGGAGCCAGACCTTTGTAGCACTGTGGATTTGCCCAGCCAACAGGATGGGAAAGCTAGCCCCAAGCGGCTGCAGCCCTTTATACACAATGCAGATCAGCAGAACAAGTGATTCCTATCCACAGGCAGTGACCGATGATAAAATATTATTTGCTGCAGAGTGTCATTGAACAGGAGGGAACACGTCAAGGGCAGAAAGTCCAGTTGTACGGAAAGACCCAGGCATCTCAGGGTCTCAAGCCCGGAAGGACTCGCCAGAGACCGTGCACACTGCAGCGATGGGGAGCTCACCACTCCCACCTGCCAGGCCACTGGGAGCATCTGAAGACTGGATGGGTTGACCATAGGCCCTCATAAAGATATGTGGGAGTCCTGACCCCAGTGCCTGTGGACGCCCCGCTGGGAGTGTGTAGCCCTAACACTGTGTCTGGAGACAGGGTCTTTTTTTTTTTTTTTTTTTTGGTCAGAGTCTCACTCTGTTGCCCAGGCTGGAGTGCAGTGGCATGCTCATGACCACCACAGCCTTGACCTGCTGGGCTCAGGTGATCCTTCTGCCTCAGCCTTCCAAGTAGCTGGAACTACAGGTGTGCACCACCATGACCGACTAATTTTTAAAAATTTATTGTAGAGATGAGATCTCACCAAGTTGCCCAGGCTGGTTTCGAACCCGTGGGCTGAGGCAATCCTCTTGCCTCCGCCTCCCAAACTGTTGGGATTACAGGTGTGAGCCACCACAGCTGGCTTGAGACAGGAAGCAATTGAGTTAAACTGAGGCCATCCGGTGAGCCCTGACCCGACATGACCGGTGTCCTTACAAAGAAAGGAAGTTTGAACACAGACATGCCAAGGGGACGCGTGTGGAGCGAAGGGCAGAGGTGGCGGTGCTGCTGCTATACCAGGGCGACCTCTGGCAAGCCACCGCAAGCCACAAGGGAGGCACGGCACAGATCCTCCCTTAAGCCCCCAGGAGGAACCCTCCCGGCTGACACCTCGCTCTTGGGCGGACTTCCAGCCTCCAGAGTCGTGAGAATCAGTTTCTGTTGTTTGAGCCCGTGTGCCTTAGTGACGGCAGCCTCAGCAAACTAGGACAAAGAGTTAGCACGCGGTCCACACCTGACTGTGACCGGTGCCCGCCGCCAGTCCTCTTTCTGCCCCCAGGAATTGGAAATATCCCCGTCTCCACCCCACCTGTGCCACCTGCCATTCCTTCAGCCCCTACCTCTGTCATCTAAGCCGGGCACTGTCCGCCCTCCCCTCCTCGGCCTCCCTGTCTCTGGCCTTGCCCCCGTTCCCCGGCCCTGGCCACCAGCGACCCGCCGAAGGCTGTGGCATCACTCTCCCTCAGGGCTCCACTCTGACGTCTGCAAGAGGACACCCGGACTCCTGAGCACGGCTGTCTTGTGGTGCAGTGAGGGACAGAGGCCCCAGAGGGGCAGGGTCCAGGTCAAGGCACAGAGGGCTCCCCGGCTGCTGGCGTCGTCTAAGAGACCGGTTCTGGGGTGTCAGGTAGTGAGGTTCCCGTCCTAAGGGTTAGAGCGGGGCCACGGACCATGGGCTTCCTCTGGGGTTCATCTCCAGGGCCCGAGGGGGAGCCTTCCTGGGCCGCTCAAGGCTCAGAGCCACGTGAGCGAGGCCCGTGCCTCGTGACGGCTGCTCACATAAGCACACGTGACCTCCTTTCTACAGAGCTGGAGGGAGTGGGGTGTGGACGTCCAGGATCCCGTTTACATAATTTCCTGATGTCCTCATGACGGTGGCAACCTGGGCTGCAGTCCCTGCCATCTCGTGCTCCAGAGAACGGCAAAGAGCCGCGGTGCTTCTGGGAACTCACACCTCGCCTGGCTCCCGGCCCACAAGGGAGAATGCAGGCTCTGCTTGTTTAGAGGCGTCCGAAGCCTTGGAGTCAGGAGGGTCCTTGACTCTGACTCTCTGCTCATCCCCGAGATCTGCTCCTGGGTGCCTTCAGCAGATGGTGGGCCAGCCTCTGCTTGCACGCCTCTGATGATGGGAAGCTCACTTCGTCCAAGGCCGATGGTTAAATGGTGTGACAGGTCCAGCTGATCTTTTCCCATAACCTCTCTTTTTCAGATAACAGAGCATTCCTCGGGGTCAGACCTGTACCTCAAGAGTTCCAGACAGGGGCGGGGGCTTTGGTACTGGCCTGCACAAAAGGCTCTGGGAACACAAAGGGGGATGCTGTTATTTTAGTGCATATGCCACTGAAGTGAGCACAGATGGTGCTGTTACTTCATTACCTCAAGAGAAAGTGAATGGGAGGAGAAATCAGGGAGGGCTCCCTGGAAGAGGGGATGTTTCAGCTGATTCTGTTCAGTCAGTGTCAACAAGGCCCTGGTATTCGGCACTGTGCCAGGGCTGAGGCTACACAGATGAACTCGAAGCGGTCCTGGCCACAGAGAACTGTACACTCTGCACAAGCAGGTATGCCTGAGTATGTATGGGCCTGGGGGCCATGCTGCAGGCGATCTGGGAGGGCTGAGGCTGAGGGAGGATGTGGGGGAGGGGCTGGTGGCCACGAAGCGGGGGATGGGCCTTGGGTAGGAAGGTGCTGGAACCAGGGGCTCGCTCCTTCAGGCGCTGGGAGCCATGGGAAATCCTGAACTGGGAACGAGGTGGTTGGTGCCGTGTTTTAGAAAGACTCCTGCTTCCAGACCGCCTCATGGAGCCCACACTGGCCGCCCCCTGGGCCTCTGCAGACTAGGCAGCTCTGAGAGAAAAAGGAAGTGAAGTGCATGGCCCCGACACTTTCCTCCACGCAGTCCCCCTTGCTCGGGAAGAGAGGGCTCAGGGACCAAAGGGCTGGACTGTGTTGTGCCCTGGGGGGACTCTGAGACAAGACACAAGCAGCGCCAGCCACAGGATGGGGGTGTGCGAGCTCTTTGCGGGCCCCCTGGCCAACCTTTTCCCTCATTAATGCAGCAGGGGTACTCACCAGTCCCTGGACACTCGGCCTCCCCTCCTACCTCCTGGCCTTGGCCTAGAATGCCTGCCCTCCCTCCCTTAACCTCTGTGTGTCACATCTTTCCTGTCTGATCCATGACAGGCTCTCTTCTTACCCACGAAGCCCTTGCTGATTTCCTCAACCTGACGGGAGACTTCCTCAAACTGCTCAGGACTTCCTTGCATTGCCCGCTCACTCCCTGATGGGACAGACAGCCCTCGCACGTCTAACTGTTCTGGGCACCCAGGACGCAGAGGTGATCGAGTCTCACAGCCCAGAGGCATCGGTCTGGCTGAGAGACGCTTTCCACACAAATACGATCACTGGGAAGCTAAAGAGAAATAAATAAATTCTGGGGGAAAATGACTTCTTCCTCTAAAATTATCCTAGATATTTCTCACTGAGGAAAAGCAGCCAGGAAATGGGCACTTCCTGTTTTCATTAAATAAAGGCTTTTAAACATCTGTTGTTTCTGGTGACAGCCGTTGTCTGTGACTCCAAGGGCCCCAAACACCCCCGGATAACCCCACAGATCCCAGACCGCGGCTCTCCCGATGGCTCCGTCGGCGCCGGCTCCGGCAGCCTCGGAGAACGCACCCGCCATAAGGGAGGCTCACGGTGGCCCGTTTTGGCAAGGGCGTTCCGGTCTGTTCTGGTCTTTGGTCTTCTCGCGGGAGGAAGGCCAGGTGGAGACTCAGTGTCTTCACAGCCAGGGAAACCGAGAGAGGCGGAGATTGTTTTCCTGCAGCTGCAGAGCGAATCCGAGTGTGTCTGCAGGACCCTGGGGTGGCCCCGGCGGCGGTCTTCCCTTTGGCTGGGCCTTGTGGGCGGCTGGTGCTACACAGGGAGTTCGCCCATGAGATTCGAGGCAGGGTGACAGAATCCTGTGTCATGGGACGAGCCCAGGAGGACAGCGCCTGGGACGCCTTGACCACAACACAGCCGCCACAGGCACGGACACTCCCCGAAGGTCACCCTCAAAACCGGGGAACCGGGGAACCAGGGGCTAGAGGTGGCATGAATGACCTATCCTAGAAAACAAACACATAAAAAACCCAACTCGCGTTTATATCCTGCGTCCATTCCCACCCTGCTGAGAGACGCTGGATCAAGAGGTCTGAGCATTTACACTTTCCAGTAGTGTCAACTACAACCCCATAGGTGAACGCAGACAGTCTGACTTCCTCAGTGCTCTCGTGAGGCTATCTGTGAGGAGTGGTGGTAGCAGGATTAGCACCCATGTCCCTTGACTCTGCTGTGACTCAATCACCGCTGCTCTCAGATATGGTTTACGACTTCTAGATACTCGCCTTGGGGCTGAACCAAAGGGAGAGAAGCTTGCACCCAGGGACTCGCTGGCAGAAGGAAGCGAAAGAGACACAAGGCTGAGCCTTCCAGCCAGCAGTCTCTCGGTCCCAGGATGTCAGAGCTTGGGAGGGACCCATTCTACAGATGAGAAGACTGAGGCACTCAGAGGGGAAGTGGCTTGTCAGCGGCAAAAGTTGGGGCGTGGCTCCAGGCCCCCCTTTCCCAGAGTCCGCGTCTGAAGTCAGCTTCTCTGGATGACCAGGCCGTCAACAGGAAGTGCCAGGGACCCGGCTCTGCCCCTCTCGGGCCCTGGGCACGGGGTGGGGGGGCTCCTGCTCCTCTCCTCGACTCTTCACTTAGAACGACTTGCCCTTTCCTCTTGCTCTCTGTGGCACCCAGGCAAAGGACCTGGGGCAGGAGGCAGAAAGCCTGTTCTCATCTGGCTGCACTCAGCCGCCTCCAGCAAGACTTCGGTCACACACCATGATCCCTCTGTGGGCCTCGGTGTTTTCATCTGCAAATTGGGATGTATGGGAAGGTGCTTGGACTGTCAGCAGCCCAACCTCAAGTCACGCCCATGAGGGACTGGGAAACCAGTTTAGTGGGTGGTGGACGGCATTTAAAAAGAGAAAGAGGCCGGGCTCGGTGGCTCAGCCTGTAATCCCAGCACTTTGGGAGGCCGAGGTGAGTGGATCGCCTGAGCCCACGGGTTCGAGACCTGCCTGGGCAATTTGACGAGACCTCATCTCTACAACAAATCAAAAATTAGCCGGGTGTGATAGTGCGCGTCTGTAGTTCTGGCTACTTGGAAGGCTGAGGCGAAAGGATCGCCTGAGCCCAGCAGCAGGTTGAGGCTGGGTGGGCAGGAGCGGCCACTGCACTCCAGTCTGGGCGACAGAGTGAGACTCCAACTCA